TCTATTGCTTTAGAGTATTTGTGATGATGCACCAAAACAAAGTAAATACAAAATCCAATTCAATACACCTTTCATATTAAATGTGCACATTTATGAAGGCATTCATTATGTACAATGCAGCACAGAGTAGAAGTGTTTTTGGACAGATGGGCGCGCAGATATGGCGATGGTGGGTGGGTGTCAATGGATGACTCAGTGGGTGAATGAATGTATGGATGGATGAATGTATACCACTTTATTGCCCATATTACACTCAGCTGAATATAAAGAATGCCTAATAATTATATATGAACCACACTTCAGCTTCTGGTCATGACAGTGGCAAAATCTTAAAACATATCTCATGACTCCACCAGAAAGGATCTGGCACATAAGAAGAGCGCTCTCCATTGATATGGTGAAAAAGAAGATGACATATGAAATTTGGGAAAGTACAGGTAACCCTCGATTTGCGCCGATTCAGAATAACGCCGTTTTCGAAACCAGCAATTCAAAAAGTGGAAAAAATATATTTTACTATTATTTATAATGTTTTACAATGTTTCTCGTACTGATTCTTATACTAAATCGTAATTCTTACATCGCTGATTTTGAATAAAAACTATAAATACAGTCACTTCTGCACTCATTGCTAAGTAGTTGCGAGATAATCTCCTAAAAATCCGCCAACATTGTGCAACAGTCACGCGAGCATTGGTCACTCTTCAGGGTGAGTCATTTGATTTCAGCCTCATAAGGGAGTAAGGAAATATGCGCTCAGTTCGCTTCTTGTTGACACATTGAATGTGCTGAAAACTGTGTGCTAAATGTGTTTGTGTTGTTGTTCGATCACTATTCTGCAGTAGCAACTGTTTTATATTTATAAATTGTAGAAGAGCCACCATGTCTGGTAAGAGAAGTGACTGTGTTGCTAAAAAGTTGTGTACGTCTATTGCGTTAGAAGATAAGATGGACATAATTCATAGAATAGAAGGTGGTGATACCCGTCATAATGTGTGCAGATGTATGAAGTTGTCTCCTTCCACTGTGACTACCATAATGAAAACTTCATATAAAATAAAACAAGGCTACAAGAGTAAGTGCGATGCAAGAGTTATAGCAGGAGTAAACTTTTAGGAAGAATGGAGAAATTATTGTTGCTATGGGTGGATGACATGAATTGAAAAAACATTCCCTTGACTGAAATTGCTATCACGGATAAGGCGAAGTCAATTTTTGAGGAACTTAAGTCGTCAATGTTTGGGTGCCGGGAACGCATGTCATTGACTTCCCATTGATTTACATTATAAAAAGAGTTTCAATTTATGCCGGTTCGTCCAGGAACGCAGCCCCAGTGTAAATCGAGGGTTACCTGTGTGTGTGTATATATATATATATATGTGTGTGTGTGTGTAATGCAAAAGATTAATTATAAGAACTTATTTGCAACAAACTGTGTATCAGATGTCAAATTAGAAGCCGCTATATTCCACACACTGCCCACTGTTTTAATGACTTGAAGCTGAACATAAACATACTGTGTACACAGCATGGGAGTAGGTTTAAAATCTTTCAGAGTTGCCCACAAGTGTCAATGTGTCTGCATTTCCCTGCTGATTGCCCATTTAATGCCACCTGGTTCAGTCCTATGTTTCTGAACTTATATTTTATATAATTATTATGACAAAGGTAAATTTGTACTTTGTGTTTAAGTACCATTGCGATATGGAGGAAGAGCTTGACATTCTTAACCTTGGCACTAGAGAGAAGGAAGTCAATAGTTTCATGCCACTTTACCCTGTAGTAATAACCCTGGAACCCAATGGATAGGAGGTAATGTGGGCCTTAAAACCAGTCTAGATGTTGTGGCAAATACAAATTATGCTCTTCTGGGAACCAAACCTTGGTCATCCAGCCCATAACCTAGTCACTACACTGACTAAGCTATCCCAGCTCTATAACCATTATAAACTTTGATGCTAAAAAGCTTATGTCTTTATCTCACTAGCAGCACAGACTGCTTCAGTAATACTGATCAAACCACTCTCAGTAAACATATACAGAATGAAACACATAGGTTTCACATGAAGTTGAATTGCAATACTGCACTAGATCTCGGTGTCATGGTAAGTTGTGGTGCAGGCGGTGTTCCCGTTCATGCTGATCCTGCAGAATAGTCTCCAGCACCTTCTCCACATTCTCTGGCAGGTGGTCAAGGACCATGCGTGGCATTACTGCAAGCTGCATGAACTCCTCAGCAGCTGCCCACCGCATCACAAACTGTGATCTTCTGGCACCTGACTTCCTGTAAAATCAGGCAGCAAAATGTAATCCTATAAATACTGAACAGTGATGATAATGTTACTTGAAATACAAGTTACCTATGCATGTAGATCACCAGGCCTTCAAAGAAAGAGATTCAGATAAATCCTGGGGCCCACAAGGCCTTGTGAATACTCACTTGTCTGTTCCACTCTTCTTTCTGTAGGTGATATGCAGTATGCGTCCTGGTGAGAAGAGACGAGTTCGAGAGAAACGGCGGGCTGGCACATCCTTCTCTAGAACAGAAACCTCCTGGAACCAGAGTAAGACACAATAATGTAAAAGACTCGTACAATAAAAAAATCATGCAGCTGGTGAAGTCAATAGTTAGAGAAGTGTGATCACTCACACTCCATGTAGTGGGTTCTGGAGATCTGAACAGCAGGGGCAGATGACCTGGTGCTGGTGGTGTAGTGCATTCACTCTTCCATGTGGTCTCCAGGTCACGCGTTGGAACTCCAAATATAGCATACCCAAACCCATTGAGCATAATCCGGTACTGTATTCGCACAGAAAGAGGACTAAGAGTTAGTGCTAAGATCACCCACAAGGTGTTACAAATAAAAATATTGTAAGATCCACAGCCATCATCCTGAGAATTCCTGCTTCGACCCTTTACAATTAAGTTTTGTTTAGCAGAACTGCCTTATGCCGTCTCTATAAAATATCAATGATGATTTAAACATAACTTTCACTTGTACATCATGGACACAAATTTTATCCTCAAATTTTATTTTTCTCTTTGCCACTACTGTTTCCACAAGGGCATCTTCCTTCAGGGATTAAACAGCCAGAGCATGAAAGTAATCATTCATCTATAACAGAAAACAATCATTGAGATGATATGTATATCGAGATTTAATGGCGTACAGTGTTTATTAGGTTTGATACCTACAGATTTTTATCTGCAGTAAATGAATATCAAGACCAATGATGAATGCAAAATTACAGAGAATAAATCTGGAAAATAAGTGTACCCCAAAATGGAGTTCTTTGCATTTCAGGTTAATGAGAAAGTGTAAAGTAAAAAGGTGTAAGCCTGCTTCACTGTAGAGTTGTTTATAATCTACCATGCTACTAAGTTTCACAATGCATCATCACTGATGGATATGCATTTCACTTCCTAGGTTTAACAGAGTATTAAATAAACTTCTACTTTTGGCAAGTGAGAAGCCTCAAGCACGTGAAGCAGAGTTGTCCGCAGGTCCTCGGAACTATCGATGCTGAGCCTCATGACAAAATCGTCTCCAACACCCACAGAGAATGTGAAGTCCTCAGTGTAGCGCGCTGCTTCCCGACTTAACACAGCCGCTACAATAAATAAATAAATCATGATGCTACAATGGGAAATAGACACTCAAATTGTTTATTAAGAGCATTGCACTCAACATCCATTTTTTCCAAGCTCTTGCTTAACAGTTTCCCAGTCATGATACAGATCTCTGCAGTTGAGCTGGTAAGTCTCTCCTGTTATTGCACAGTTTGCATTCAATAGGGGTCCCACATCTGTTCAATGCCACATATAAGACAGATAAAACAGTCAATTCAGCCAACTTTTGGCTGCATTTTACACTACTAGTTCAATCTCAGTATTGAGGTTTTCATCGCAGTGAAGATGATGACCGAGCAGTAGACTACAACTGATATACTGGCTCAATGCTTCAGTCAACATATAGGGCTTATTCCTCACTTTCAACCCCACATGAAAGACAAGCATATGCGGCTGAAAAATTTTACAGCACGTCTGTTTTAGCTAGGCCCCTTTTACAAGTATTTATTTACAAACTGAAAACAATATAGGTTCAAGCAGAACTCATTAAGAAGATGGCTGTCTTCTGGGATGTAGCACAGTGCTGCCTGGTACACATTCCAACCTAATTTTTCATTAATTTTTATTTTATGTTCAGTTTTCATAACAGTTCTCATTTGATCAAGATAGTTTACTGCTCTTCACTATGAATTTTTGGGACCAGAGAAATTTTCCAATAAAGATAGGTTGTCATTTAATCTGGGTTTCATTTTTGATAGGTTTTACTGTATTTTAAACATAGACACAAAATATGCCTCTTACCTGGAGGACACAGTGCATACACTCTCAAATTCGGGTATTTGGAGCGAAGCAAGCAGCCCACAAGAACGCCCACAGCAGCCCCAAGACTGTGTCCTATACCAAAAAAAAAACTCACTTGTTATTTGGACAAAAAAAGAGTACAGCTTGAAACAGTGTAAAAATCTTACTCCAGCAGTAATTACTTCAACAAGAAAATATGATTATCTAGGGCTAGACTTCTCTGTCAAACAGACTGACTGCTTTAGAAACTAGCCAGAACTAGGGCACATTTTATGTAATGACTTCCTCTTTCCACACCTCAGGAAAATCATAAAACATTTCAGACTGGAAATGCAAACTTCTAGACAGAATTTTAAATGTGAACATTGCCAAATATTAAGCACCACTGAAGATTATGGAAGAAATTGAATGCATCATGCATTACATTTAAGATAATCATACGGACTCTATGTAATGTTTGCCATTATGAAATCCACAGTTTTACTGGCATACTGTTACCTGTTATAGCAAGTTTGTAGTGTGGATAGAGTCCAAAAGCCTTATTCAATATATCTAGATCTTCTAGATCTCTCTTGATATAATGAGCACCGATCACCATTCCTCTATGAGCCTGAAACAAAACATTTTTAATACTACTTTTGGCAAACAATACAGTTGCCATTTCACCCTGGACAGACAGTCAGACATGACCTCACAAGTACACATTCAATTATAATAAGAAGAAAGCAGATAGAGAAAAGAAAAGTGATTTTGAAGATTCTAAGTACATTTCTGGGTAAAGAGTTCAATCTACTGGGCATCTGATGGAAGTTAATTATTTTAGGTATGTGGAAATCCCATTTCCATCTCTCTCTCTAATTCAAACATTAAAATGTGCATCAGATTCCGTAAGTCTTTCAATTTAATTAGATCTCCATCTTTATCCTTAAATCTGCATATTTTACATAAAACTTCAAATAGATGGAATACACCACATAAAAGATTTAGAATGATATATGCAAGACTCACTAAACAGTGTCTATTATTATAATGTACTTGAAACAATATGAAATTAAGTGAAAACGGAGTCAGACATTTAGCTGGTAAAAATACAGATTCGAGTGATATTATTTTTTTATAAACACTCACATAACATATATTCACTAGACCAGTGACAATTATGAGTATAACGACACTCACCATACTGTTTGGTGGAAGTCCTTCAGCCTCAAACTTCTCTGCACCTGCATTAAGATCGGTGAAAATATCACGCATAGATATGGATCCACGAATCACAAGAACAATACTGCCAGTCTTATGGTCAGCCACCAAATAGTACGGCATCTGCAAACATGTCAGGTAGGTGCTTTTGCTTAGGTTAGTTATGAACAGGCTTAATTGTCCCCACATACAATGAAAATGTCTTAGGAGAAAGAAGATGAGATAAGCTGAACCAAAATATGTTCCTCTATTACAATAACAGGGCTTAGTAAATATTAACCTACTAATTAATGATGGTGAAGGATAGGAGTTACACCCTCACCTCAAATATGCGGTTCCGGAACGAAGCAAACAGAATATCGTCGTCAGCAACCATGGACAGGTATCTGATGCCCGCAAGATTGCAGAAGCAGCAATTGTCCTCCTGTACCAGCATCGACTTCGATCTGAAACATCCATTGGGTTCTGTGGAATGATGTAAAAAACTAGAAAGTTTTGTAAATAGTTATCATATTTCCCATTATCAGACCCAGCTGGTATATAATTTAGAGTATCACAAAACAAAATCTTTCAATTTATCTAAGAGGGCTTTCTCAAGATTGATTTTTAAAATGTTTTGTTTTGTCTATTATTCTTTCAACATAGTGTTTACAATTTCATCTGCATTGTTTATAAATATCTTTTAAGGTAAAAAGTTATAATTTTAAAAATATAATAAATAATTTTGTCATATAATACACATTGTGCATTCACTTTACATTGCATTTACCTAAAACCACTGGCCTCTTCAAATATTTTGTTGTCAATACACATTTTACTACCAAGAAGGTAAGATGAGCAGGGCAAGCGATGTGCAAGGATGAGATGAAAAAAACATTCAAAATTTTAGTAGGGAACCTAAAGGGAAGAGTCAATATAAAAGACCTAGACAGAGAGGGGAGCATAATATTAAAAATGTATCTTGAAAAAAATGGGTTGTAATGATGTTGACTGGATTCACATAGCTCACGGAATTTCATGACTATTAGCTACTCAAGAACAGCTCTGATCTACAGAGTTTAGTTTGTTACTTACTTTCTTATTCCTGTGGCTATACAACCCAATGTGGGTCTTGTCTGCCTCCTTTCGGAGGTTTCTTGATCTCTATTTTTTTATTTATTACATTTGGTAGCGATGAATGATCAGCCCATCGCAAGACCTCTACCAAAGACATGGGTGAGAAATTTTCGCTCAATTTTGCTTACGAAACATCTCGTTCATGCTCGTAAGGTTGATTAAGTAATTGTGTAGTAGTTTCGCGGCCGTCAGTTTGATGAAATCTCAAGCTACAGATTTTTATCGCCCTTACAAATCCATCAACCTTGGCCAGGTTTGAACCTGTAAACCTTGGGTCCAGTGGCAAGCATGCTACCACTAAACCATCGAGGGTGACTTGTTACTTACTTTACTTCTCAATAATTCCCTATGATCCAATTGTGAGATAAGGGAGGTGAGGAGAGGTGAAATGTGACTACTCTGCCCCATCACATAGAAAAAAAATCCTGTTCCTGCTGGAAATTGAACCCTGTTCATTCAGCTTGGAACCTAGTCACTACACAGACTCAACTATATCAATCCCATATGCACAATGCCTAATGGAACTCACCTTAAGCAAGAGCAGCAAGTCATGTTACCTGTAAGCTTAACCAACCCACTGAACGGATACCGATACATCACAAATGGCCATGTGTAGGCAGCAATAGCCAGTTTCAGGAAGTGATGTGCTAGCTCCAGTGACATCCAATCCGGCGCATCTGCCATCACCGTTCGCACATCTGTGTGCCACGTGCATAAACACAAAATATATTAAATAATTATTATCCCTGTGCAATGCCACAGAGGCGTACACGTGAAGTGAAGATAAATCTCCATAAAGTCTCAAACTCGGTACTAGTCAGAGGTGAGTGGTCAGCATTACCCTGGTACCACAGTATCAACTGGATTGGATGACAGGCAAAGTGGGGATGAAGAGAGAAATCCCTTCTTTCTGCATGTAACCACTCTTATTATTGGCTGATTTTATTAATGACATATTCAATAGATCAGTTTATACACTTTCAAATGGTAGGATGATTAGTCAATAAGGAATTGGGCAGAATTTGGAAGGAAGTGGCAATGACCTAACTTAAGGTACTACTTGCTTATACAGACTAAGGAAAACCATGAAAAATCGAAGTATAGTAATTAAATACAATAATGTGTACTTAAAAATAAATTAATGTATATGCGGAGATAAATAATTGAATGAGTTCTGGTACAGTAAATCTTACCTTGTATGTACTGAGGCTGCTGGTCCAGAAGCTCAAGTCTTCGCATCTCCCTGGTCTTGCGCTTCTGCAGGACCCTCATCAGGATGAAGCCGGCCACATAGTCAGAGGGCACCATGTCAGTTCCTCGAAAGAGTGAGCTGAAAAAATCTGCAAGGAGAGGATACAACTGGGTTTAGAAATTATAAACCTGTACAGCTAAAAGTAAGAGGAAGACCAGAGTGACACTGGAAAGAGGAGCCGCATAAATAACTGATGATTCAAAGCCCAATGGTAATTCTAAATACTGCATGCAAAAAATTAAATAACCATATTTTGCTGACAGAGCATATCTGTAGATTTCGTATGATCTCAGAGTAAACAGGTATTATTTTCTTAGACAACATTAATCAGTTTATCTTTGTGTAATGTAGATGCATGGTTTTCATTAGGGTGAGAAATGAATTATTAAATTATTCAGATCAGCTTCCGCTTCAAAGCGGTAATACCAACAATCATTAGGCGATTCAGTTTAAGATTAATTAGTTTGGGCACTGGAGATTGTTTATTGTGTATCTGCATGTCTCGACACATTGTCCCACTTTCACCAACAGGTGACTTTATTACAATCATATTGATTTTGTTTTATTTTAATATTAGTGGCAACGGTTGAAATCGACCTCAGGATCTCTTAAACAGTGGGCCTGCAATTGCTGGCCACATTACCCACAACTAGGTTTAAAAGGACCGAGTTTCTCCACTAGCGCAACGTTCGCTTTAAAAGGATTAGAGTGTTTGTAGAAAGTTACAGAGACAAAATGCAGAAATTTGCTTCAGCTATCCACACTGAACAGCTGTCAGGATTGTGTACACTTCAAATACAGATGTCTGCTTGACCGCATGAGAGATGCACACTTTATTACTGTCAGAAAGTTCACACATTGACATACTTTGACAGCTGCAGGTTGCAGTCAGATGTAAACAAAATTATTTACTTGCAAGGTAAGGATATAGTTAAAGCTAAAACAGAATGGCCGATTGGCAATAAACTGCTTAGTCCTTGAAGGGTCTCCAGTTCAAATCTCAGACTGCATACCAGCTATTTTGAGATTTTTTCATGGTTTTCCACATTACTTCCAACAAAATTACAGGATCTTCTTCTATAGCTCTCTGGTCCGTATTCAGTCCATGGCCTCCTCAATTCTCCTCTTCCATTCGGTCCTCTGTTAGGTCCATCTGTCCGAGGCTTTGATCGAGGTTTTGAAACATCTTCCTTTTTACGGTGCAAGGTTGTTAGCCTTGCGACCAACCCCCAACCTGGAGGACCAGGATACCTGTCTTAGTCCGACCTCTCCCCCTCGACCAATCTGGCTAGGGAGGCCCTACCAGTAGCTCTTGGGGTCACTGAGGTACTCTGTACTTACTGGCCATGTGGAGGAAGGCGTCCTTGCCATGTTCGTCCCGCCGCATCCAGCAAAAGGTCCATTTCAGTCGCCGCATCCAGAGACGTGTTAATCTGCGGTGCCGCAGCGTCTCCAGCGTCAACTCCTGCTCGTTGAAGTGCGCGGAGCCCAGAGGATCAAAGACGACGGCAAGACCGAACAGCGTTAGCGCCAGAAGCACCCAGTTGAACAGCACCAGCCCTACAAAAAACCCCAGACAGTCAGCTCAAGTGGGAGAGGCACGAGATGCATACAACTTTCTGGTGGTGAAGTCGATGGAACTACAGAACAGTAACTTCATATATTGATCTAAATGATAAATACATAATTTGAAACCTGAATCAAGGTAAGTTTCGTTTCTGTGTCATTCCAGTTTCTGTAACAGACAAGAGGCAGAACAACCCCTACCTTCTGTGACAGTCCTGGTGAAATGCTCGCTGCTGCACTGCACAGAATGCCCAAACATCCAAATCGTCCCCATGATGTTCCAGCCAACCTCTGGGAGAAGCAGCAGAATCCTGGAATTACACGACATAACAGCAATGAGCAACTACGCGTTGCTAACAAGGCAACCAACCGCTCAGCACAAAACACAGAAAATCATTTGTCAGTTAACCGCTTTGAAGAATAAAGTTCGTCTAAATAAGTCAATCAGACATGAGTAAAGATGAAGATACATAAAACGTACTTTACTGTTAGAATTGGGGCAACCACACGCCTTGCTGCTGTGTCTAAGATGGCACCCTGGGCGCTCCTGTTCACCAGTGGAACCAAAAGGACAATATTGCAAGCGAGGATAGTCAACACGCCTATCATGTACACACGCACAAAGACGCCCCCTTCAGAACAAAACCACGTGTGTGGGAAGTAGCGGGCACACGCCAAAGAGAGCAGAATCAGCCTGGAACAAACACAGTCGTTGTATAGAGTCTCCACATTTCGGGGGCAGTACCTACTTGATTTGTCTCAACTACATATCGAAAATATTGCAGTAGTCCGAGGTCTCGATTGCACCAAAGGATTTCCAGGGACCTTCCGAAATTTTTCATGAAATTAATGGAGAAGTTCCATA